GGGGGGTAGTGTACATTCAAAGGGGGGAGGAGGGGGGAGGGGGAAGTATCACCAAATGTTGGTGCTATTTTACCGGCGTTTGGGAGTTTACCGTTTGTGCAGCTTTTAGCTTGATTTGTTGGATGCAGCGTTCCATGTGTCTTGAAAATTGCTTTCGTAAAATGAGTTCGGATTGCGCTTTTGCAGTGCTGGTGAGTTTTCTGGCTATTTCGTCGAAGACGATATGTTCGTAGGTGCCTGTAATGGTAAGTGAGCCGATAAAGAGGTAGAGATCTCCGAGTCGATTGTCGAGGTCTTGGATGAGGTATCGTTCAACCAGCCATCGTGCGCCTTCGGGGGAGTGCATAACGTTGAATGGGCACTCGAATTGAATGGCCTGGCGTTTGACGTTGTGTTCGAGAAGTTGGAGAAGGAAAGTTTGTCTTTTCTGTAAGGCGGCGAGAGTAGCGGTAGTGAGTGGCAGCTCATCGGCAAGTCGTCGGAGACAGGCACAGAATGCGAGATGCACTTTGCGGAACTTTGCAAGCAATTCAATCAACTCCGTAGTCGCCGTGTGCGTCTCCAAACGCGCTTGTTCGCGTTCCACCAAAATCTCCTTCTTCGTCTCCATAGCCCAAGTAAACATTTGACTGAGTGCGCGCCACTCAATTTCTACCCCTAGCGACGCCGTCGTAGACATTGAACCCTCGCTCTTAGGACCGCGTTCTAAATCAGGGCCTTGTTCCATACCCCGTGAGGACCAAGCCTTCTTCGGCTCGCCCGTCAACAAAACCGAAGACGGCCTCCGTGTCGGACTTGGTGAGATCAACGCTAACGCCGTATCCAGGCCCTTCTCACACACCTGCCGCAATTCCGCATCCATCTCCCGACGCAAATCCGATCCACCGCGCTGCACCTTCGTCTCCCGTCGCGCCTCATCCCTTCGGACCTCGCCTCGACGGACCTTGTCCCGCGGGGACTCTTCTTCGCCGTGCGATTCCACCACACGCCGCCTCTCGTCCACCTCTTTGTTTCGTCGAGCCGACCGCCCTTCAACCCGGCTGCTGCTCAGCAACCCATCGCTCATCACCTCGCTCCGCGCCCACTCGTCCCCCTCGTGCGAGAGCCGCCGTCGCCGCCGACGCGACCGCTCCTGGTGGTCTTCCCGTTCGCGCTCCTGGTGGCCCTCCCTCTCCCGTTCTCTCTCCCGTTCCCTCTCGCGCTCACTTCGCCCCCGTTCTTGCTCGCCGCGTTCCTGGTCGATGCTCCGCGGTTCGCGGACAAGTGCGGGGCGGCTGGCAGCGGGGAGTCGCACTCCAACAAGAGAAACAGGGGTATCTCGCGGCTGCAGATTGGCCACGACGCGCCGCTCACCAACCTCAGGCAATTGACGCCGGACGAATCGGTGTTTCTCGAGCCGCGGTAGCGCAAGGTTCCGCAATGTCCCAGGTCCGCTCATCGAGGATTCGTACGCACCCCCAATGGAGGCCGTCGGGGTGGGGGTAGCCGGGGTAGGGGTCACACCGGTCGGGGTCAGGCCTGTCGGGGTCAGACCCATACCGGAGTGGGAATCCATACCGGAGTGGGAGTCCATACCGGAGTGGGAGTCCATACCGGAGTAGAGGTCCAGACCGGGCGTGGGTAGAGGCGCGGATAAGTTGGTGAGACTGAGACTCGGCGTTGGCGGAAGCACACACGTGTGCTGCGCCAAATCGCCGTCGCTCGCGACCCGCACCTGGGCTGTCGTCGTCTTCGGCGTCGGGCGCGTCGG